ATTAGATTAGAATGCCAACACAGAGCCCTGTACACTCCAATGAGCACGGGCGGACAGGGTTCACCTGCTGAGGCAATATTTTCCTCTAGTACAAACTGTACTAGTCTCGTGACAGAAGGGTTGCCATGGTGGGGAGGGTGTGCCATGGTACACGTGTGGAGGTCAGAGAACAATTTCAGTGGAGCCAGGTCTCTATTTTACATGGAATCTAGCGGTCAATTGCAGGTCACCTGGACAGCACAGGTGTCTTTACTCACGGAGTCATCTTGCCAACCCTATGGGTCAAAAGCTCAGTGATAAGGAAAAACCAAAAGACAAGCTGGCAAGATGGCTCTGTACATAAGGCACCTATTGCCCACCTTGGTGACCTCAGTCTGATCCCCAGTACATATCCGGTGGAAGGAGAAAACCGGTTCCTGCCAAGAGGCCCTCTCACACACCCATAGACATCTGAGGAAGGGGGCAAAGAGATTTTTAAGAAGCAGAGAAACAGGTAGTCTGCTTCCTAGAAATGTGAGAGAAGCTGCACCCACAGTCTCACCAACATGGCTGCCTACACAAGACCTGACAAGAATGACACAGACAGATACGCTAACATAGCGAGAGGGAGACAGATACGCTAACATAGCGAGAGGGAGACAGATACGCTAACATAGCGAGAGGGAGACAGATACGCTAACATAGCGAGAGGGAGACAGATACGCTAACATAGCGAGAGGGAGACAGATACGCTAACATAGCGAGAGGGAGACAGATACGCTAACATAGCGAGAGGGAGACAGATACGCTAACATAGCGAGAGGGAGACAGATACGCTAACATAGCGAGAGGGAGACAGATACGCTAACATAGCGAGAGGGAGACAGATACGCTAACATAGCGAGAGGGAGACAGATACGCTAACATAGCGAGAGGGAGACAGATACGCTAACATAGCGAGAGGGAGACAGATACGCTAACATAGCGAGAGGGAAGAAACCACCCAGGCCCCAACCCTAACCAAAGACAGGCAACTAAGGAACCCAGAGAAGGAGATGGTCTTCCCCAGGAAAGAGCTCCCCAATTGACTATCCAATACTAAATGGTCAGTCCTGAAATCAATGTATGTATGTATGTATGTATATATATATATTTTTTTTTTTTTTTAAAGAGGCCGGAGGCCATGAATTTGACAGGGAGTGCAAGGGGCGGGGCATGTGGGAGGGGTTGGAGGGAGAAAAGGGAAAGGAGAAAATGATGTACTATTTTAATTCCAATTATTTAACTGATAAAAAATTACTTTAAATTGTTTTTTTAATCAAAAACAAACAGAAAATAGGACTGTAAAGATGCCACAGGGCAGAGGGAGAAGGGACTTGAAATAAGCTTGTTCCCTAACTAGAACTAATAAAAAAAAAAATAAAAAAAAACATAAAAAAAAAGATGCCACAGGGCATAAGGGTGCTAGTCTCCAAACCTGATGACCTGACTTCGAACCTACATGGCAGAAGGAGAAAACCCATTCTGCAATCTGTCTACCCGCCTCCCCCTGGCAGCAAGAGCTTGCCGAGAGCACGGTTGGATATGCCACTGAGGGCTGCGGTGGCTCCACTCATCTCCATGAGAACAGATGTGTTTGTGAAGCTGTGACAGGAGGTACCTCCACCTCCATGCTCTTTATTTATTAGCTCACCCAAAAGCCTAACGCGACGGCTTTGAGTCAGGAAAAAATGATTCCCATCCTAGCACTGGCAAATCAAGACTCCATTTCCCCATTCAGAAAACTTAGAGTGCTATCCCATGGGATTCTAGAACCTCATGGGGTTGTAGAACTTAAACAGCAGATGGGCATGGGCACTGGCCAGATACACCCGGAGTCCATGTTGGCTCTCACCGCAGACAGCAAGGATGGCTCTTATCTTTAGTGCCCTGTGCCTACTGAGCACAGGCCAGGCGCCTAATTATTTACAGAATTTTTGTGACAGAGGACCCACTAAGGTTCAAATCACAGTATGTGGCAGAACACAGGTTCAGTTCAACATTTTAGATCATGCAAACACGTTGCACAACACTGAGCTGCCCACATTATGCCAAAAAGAATTTTGTGTGTACTCAGATCTATAAATTCAAAACTAAGCAAGTAAAATATTTTTGTCTGGTCTGACATAAGATTTCTTCTAATTTTTTTCTCACTGAAGTCTCTGTTCAAGGAAAAGGGTCACACACACCCAGGCAAAACTCGTTTCTGTGTTAATCTTTTAAAAATTAGCTGTAGTATTTATTTATTTATTTATTTTTGGTTTTTTGAGACAGGGTTTCTCTGTGGCTTTGGAGGCTATCCTGGAACTTGCTCTTGTAGACCAGGCTGGTCTCGAACTCACAGAAATCCACCTGCCTTGGACTCCCGAGTACTGGAATTAAAGGCGTGCGCCACCACAGCCCCACTAGCCATTGTCTTGTACTGGCTAGTTTTTATGGCAATTTGACACAGCCTAGAGTCATTTGGGAAGAGAACCTCAATTGAGAAAAGGCCCCCTTTCAGATTGGCCAGTGGATAAGCCTATGTGGCATTTTCTTAATAATTGATGAGGTAAAGTCCAACCCATTGTGGGTGGTGCCACCCTGGGGCAGGTTGGTCCTGCTATCTAAGAAAGCAGGCTGAGCATAGTGTCTATCGGAAGCAAGCCAGTGAGCAGTGCCGCCTCCCTGGCCTCTGCATCAGCTCAGTAGAAACCTTACAGTCACGGGCTACTCAAATAGTAGTCTAGACATCAGAGCCCAGAGCCACAACTCACCAGGATCACAGTGAATGTGTAAGGCTCCCAAGTGCCAGAAACTAGCTGATGCTTTTGCTGCTGCAACTCCCAAGCCAGGGAACAGAGCTCTGTCACCCCCCCAGGCCCCCCCCAAGTATTTTCCAACTATTGTAACAAAAGTGTTTTGTGGCCTCAGATTAAAGGCTGTGATCAAAGAGCAAGGGTGCAGACTGCTCTGAGGGGAAACACAAGAGACATTTCCATGTGGTGGAGACAGGAAATGTGTAGGCAGAAGGTGCAAAGGGCCGCGTTTCCCCTCGCTGTAGAGAGCTAGGGACGGTGTACGGTGGTCGTGGGAAGTGGCTTGCAGCCCTACAGAAAGAGCACAGGAAATGAAAAATAAATCACACCACAGATGGGCTGTGAGCTAAAAGCAGCAGGAAATGGCAGGCCACCCCTCAGTCCATACAGTGGGACTTGGGCACCTGCCTTCCACCTGAGTCAGCAAAACTCAAATTAGTAACCTATAGTGCATTTTCAGATCTGAACTCAATACTCCAAAGGTAATCTGCAGAGCTTCCTACTGTTGTAAATGGGGAAAACACACCAAACATGTGTCTGCCAGCAAGGCTGATTTAGGAAAATCACAAGCCCTGGGACAAAAACAAACCTGATTCTTGGGAACTCAGTACCTGTCCCTTGTGGCTCTAAATCATTGGGAAATGCAAACTTGCATGGGTGTTAAGGACTGCTGTGTCTTCCTTGACAAAGTTATTACTCATTCCCAGCTGACTGGCTTTCTTGAAATCTGAACACTTTTCTTATTGAAATACCTGTTTATCGACTCTACACTGAGAGCCATCCAGCTGTCCTGGCAAAGCTACATGATGTCTGTGCATGAGTGTCTTGGTCATCTTAAGTCAGTTTCTCCCTGCGGTCCTGAGCCATGGCCCATACACAGCACCGCCACCAGTTTTTACCGTTATACTGAACCCAGCCATTCCTAAAGAGCTTGTAACCCTGTGTCGACCTACCCTCGATCTTGTATGTCTAGTTAGGCAGACAGCCGATAATGAATGGGGGCTTGAGCTTTGTCAAGCTACACTGAGGCTGGAAATCACTGCTCCAGACAGTGTGCGAGCATCATAGTCACAAGCTTCTGTGTGCACAGCAATCACCTGGGGCCTTGTTAAAACACAAAGCCTGGGAGTTTCCTTTCCAAATAGATCCTGAGCAACCCTCCTAACCTGGCCGCACCTTCAAGTCACTTAGGTTGACTACCGTTGTAACCCCCAAAGACTGACTTGACCCAATGTGACCCAGGCAGTGAAGCTGAGCTCCCCAGGCTATGCTAGTGTGCCAGTGTGACCCAGGCAATGGAGCTGAGCTCTCCAGGCTATGCTAGTGCAGCCCTACTGGAGAACTTAGATGGCCCAGGTCATTTGCTAAGCAGCTACAGTGGAACTCAACAGGGCTGTTCCCATATATGGCAAACTTGCTGCTCCTGAGATAGACACAGGGCTCACTGGACACCCAATGCCTAGACTTCAGCTGCCAGACCTGTATTCTAAGCAAGCTTTGTCCTTAATGAAATCTTCTGTCGTCTGTTTTTTCTAAGACCGATAATCTTAAGCACAAATCTGAGCTTCATTTCTTCCCCTCCTTAATGAGGACTGGGACCTCGGAAGACAATTGCAAGTGAAATGAGACTTGTGGGGAGCTTCGGAGAACAATATGTGCACATACCACGGACAGGCAAACACACAGTCACATACCACAGGGACACATTCTCTCATACACACTGTCACACAGACACACAACACACACAGAGACCCTTGCCTACTTTCACAGACACACAGTCACACTGTCAGTCTCTCTCTCTCTCTCTCTCTCTCTCTCTCTCTCTCTCTCTCCCCACACACACACACACACACACTTTGCATCCGGCTCGTATGCCTAGAGACACACCTTTCACTTTTCACCAGAAGCATGTAGAAACAGATATACCGTGAAAGCGCACACACAGTCCAGTTTCTGACAAGTGCTTAGAGGTGCAGTTCTAGACAATGAAGGATTAGGAGAGGATTACCTGATCCAGCAAAAGGACAAAGAACTGCCATTTTCCAGGTTGTCAGCACTGTCTTTTGTCACTAATTTCAATGGCAGCTACTTAATGAAAACAAAGGAAGGGTCACAGTTGCACACAGAGCTGAAGGGAGACACTCTTCACACAAGTGTGAGAAGAAAAAATGGCAGTCAGAGACATGGCGGGGAATGGCAGAGAAACTTTAATTTGGAGAGCAGGGGTTACATTTGCAGAAGGCCAATTCCGTGTTAACAGACACACATTGTGAAGCTGGTCTGACAGAGTAAAGGGGGGTCTCTGGACTCCCCATTTCACACCCAGTCAGGGCCACAGCAAAGCACAGATCTGAATCATCAATGTCCAACAAGCTGTCATCTCAAGAATTCTTATCCAGGGGATGTCAAAGAGTGAACCTGAAAGACAGAAGCAGAAAGGTGAGATGTCATGTCCCAATGCCTTCATCTAAACTGTCAAAAGGTGCGTGGGACGGCCACTGAACTCATCCTGAGCACCAGACAGCATTTCAAGCAATGAGCGGAATAAGGCCAGCTGTTTTCACAAGAGCCTGTAAAAGTAGTGTCTGTAAAACAACGCTCATACCTACATTCCAAGCTCACCAAAATGGCAGCAAGTGAGGAGCTGAAGAAACCAGCCTCCAGCCCTCCATCGCAGCACCCTGCCTGCACCAGCACTCACCATCTACACCAGCACTCAGCATCCTGCCGACAGCTCCTCACAAAGCACACATGTCCAATTTGAGGACAGACTCAAGAAAAAAGTCAGGTTTCTCAAAACTTCACAAAGGCCCAGGGTCATTAGAAGTGATTTCTTGTTTACTTAAAGTCAGTTCTTTGGGTAAGATGGGAAGTGGCTGGGCTGCTGCTTCGAGCTGGGTGGACTTCTGACACTAAAACACTTGAACCTGAGACACTAAGGCCAGCCCACAGAGAGAGGAAAAGGCTCAGGAAAGAAAGCGTCTTTGGTAGTATTTTCAGAAACCCAACTCCCAAAGATCAATTCCCTTCTTTTCCAGCGAAGATGTACTTAGCGAGTATTCAAACAAGAGAGGCCTCGGGATTTCTGAAATGTTAGCTCAGTGGACAACTCAAGAGCCCTTTCAACTGTAAATAAAGGCTATCAAAAAACTGCTGCAAACCTCCTCCCTGAGAGTGAGACACCCAAAATGTAAGACAGCTACTGAGAAAGGCAGCAGGAGGTCCCGTCTTTCACCCAGGCAGAGAACTCTGCCATCTGCCCGGCCTGATCTGCAAGGAGAAATAAAAGGGACGATGAAGAACACACTGTCTACAGAGATGAACATGGTAACACCAGGCAGCTCCCCTCCTGGGATGTGCTCTTTCCCAGCATGCTCTCCACTCAGACACTATCTGGACAGCTGCCATCAAATCCATCCATCCCTGGATTCTGATCCCCCAATTAAAACTGAAACTGGGGGTAACATAAATCAAAGACCACTGGGCAGAGTTCAGTCTGAATCACTCTAATGTTATAAGGCCCAGATCGTAACTTCTAAAAATGAAGGACACTCCAGAAATCAACTAGGCTAATCCTCTCATCTTAGAAATGACAAAATAGACCTGGATAGCTTGGAAATTTTACCCAGAGCTGTGCTGTTCAACCTAGTAGCCAGCAGCTACACAGACATATTTAAATTTAGTGCAATGAGGTGCAATTATGGGTTAGGCTGGGGATATAGTTCGGTTGGCAGAGTACTTCTTATGCAGCATGCATGAAACCCTGGGTTTCGTACTTAGCCTCCATAAAACCAGGCATGTTGGCACCTGGCTATAGTATCAGAATCTGGGGAGTGGAGGCAGGAGGATCAGAAGCTCAAGGTCTTCCTTGGCCATATATTGAGTTCAAGGCTAGCCAAGGACTCAGACAAACCTGCCTAAACACATAAAAAGGAAATTAAAATTTAGCTCCTTGGTTAGCAAGTCCCTTTTCAGATATGCATCAATCACGTGACCAGTGGCTACTGTTGTAGGTAGTACAGACTCAGAACAAAGTGCCCACACACAGCCACCCTCACTGGATGACGTCAAGTCTCCCAGTCTGCTTTCCCCTATAGCTCTCCTGTGCTACAGTAATGATGCCTGACTTTGCAGAAACACCTAAGGATCTGTGTCTTCTTATGAACTTCTCTTCAATTTTCCCTTTTAAAAGAAAGCAAGTTTAAGATATTTTAACAAACACAATCTAACAGGAAATATACCATACATATACTATGTATAATATGCATATATGTACTATATTATAGATATTATATTTTACATCATATGTTATATCAATTGTATTTAATACAATTAGTTAAATTATATACTTATGTGTATACATAATCATCACTCAAAAGTTCTTGAAAACAGCGAGCAACACACTGGCCTTTAGGCTCCAGGCATCCACTATGAAGTGCCCACTCAAGTCACTTAGTGCCAAGGACTAAAGTCAGCTGAAATTGGCCAAGGCTGTTTCCTCCGTATAAAGTAGGAGTGCGGTTCTGTCTTCCCAACCACAGGGCAGGCAAAAAAGCTTATATGCACAGACATAAAGGTGCATATGGGAGAAACATGAGCCTAAAACCGTGGGGATGTGGCAGCAGCAAAGCATTTTATAGCTAGTCGGCTCTAACACTGCACATTTTATCTTGAGCAATCCCACTGTGATGTCCACCTTCAGTAACCAGACAGTGGGATGTGAATAAAAAGCAACATCTGGAGGGAAAAGAAGAGAAAGCAAAACCAAATGTCCACAGGACAGTGGCCATCAGCGAAAAGAAGCGGTGACGAAGGCCAAGCTCCTCCCTGTACAGGCAGGGAAACTGAGGCCTGCCACCAGCCCTAAGGTCCCCACCCTCAGGGACCTGGGAGTGCAGTGCAGGGCAGGAGTAAGAGGGATGCAGGGTGTGAGAGGCGTGCATTGTGGACCTGAGAGCCCAGAGACCAGGGTCCCGTGCAGCCCAGTGGGGGCTGCGACTTAGGGTTGAGTCACCAGGGGATGAGGACAGCAACAGAATTCTTAGCACAGATCTGCCTAGCTGAGCCAGGTACAACAGTGACCTCCTGTAGTCAGTCCCACACTCAGGAGGCAAAGGAGTGGATCATGAATTCAAGAGTAGCCTTGGCCACAGAGCAAGACTGTCTCAAACAAAACTGAAAATAAATTTAAAGTAATTTAAAAATAGGGCTGATGAGATGGATCAGTGGGCAAAGACACCTGATAAGTCCAACAAGCTGAGTTCCAGCCCCAGGGCCCACGTGATGGAAGGAGGGAAACCACTCCCATAGGCTGTGCTCTGATCATGTGCCATAGCTGCACAAGTCCACACACAGACACACACACACACACACACACACACACACACACACACACACACACACACACACACACACACGCATGCACGCGCACACACACGTGAATCTAATACATCTGTCTGTCTCTCTAAAAAGATCAAGCACAAGAGTTCAGCTACCAATTAAAGTCAATTAATACTTTTTAACTACTAAAACTAATCATACAGAATTAATCTCACCTTCCAGCCCCCTGAGGAACTGCAAAAAGGTTATAGAACCCACTCATCAACTAAAAAATTAAAGACTGTTAGCAGCAAGAGCTCATTGTTGGAGGCAATAAAGGGTCTAGAATAATGGCAACTGACAAGAAAGGGCAACCCAGTGAATACAACCCTGGGGTGTGCTGAGGGTTCCTAGGTCAGCACTGCCCACTGCTGGCCAGGATGTAAAGCAACCCCTGGGTCAGCATTTCAGCTCACCTGAGCCTCTGCTGCCCTCCTATGACTGGAAAGGAACTAGCTTGTCACTCCTCCAATGTAGTGCACTCTCAGCAAAGGAAGTGTACATCCACTAGGTGGCAGCAGAGCTTAGAGGGTGACATCTGGGCTGTGGCAGATGGTCCCAGCCCCATGGTGTGTAGGCAGCACTAAACGGACTGCGGTGTGTAACTAGGCAAGTGTGGATACTAACATGCACAAACCCACACAGACATACACACATATACATAATTAAAATTAAAAATAGCTTAAAAATTAAAAAAGGAATCTGAAATTGGGTCTGGGAGATGCCTGTAGTAATCCCAGGATGTGGGAGGCAGACAGCGGAGGATCAGGGTCACAGGTCATCCTTCAGTACATACATGTTTGAAGTGACCTTGGACTCCCTGAGGCAAAACAAACAAAAGATTTCTCACAAGGCTCTCTGGATCTCTCAGCTCGTCTTTCTGCAGCCATCTGGAAATAAAAGGATCCTGCACAACACTGAAAACAGCATCCAGTGAGAACGCTACCTGCTCCTCTCGGCTCCTCTAAACCACATGCTTTCTACAGCCTGATGCCATTTTCTTTATCTGCCTTCTCTCCATGGTTTTAAATGTCAGCTTCAAATTAATTACAAATCAGCTACATCACAAATTTCTTAAACATCCAACTCTCAATTGAAAATTAAGAATGTTAGGCAGCAACATGAGAATCTAGTCCCCGAATGTGCTGCCCTATAACCCCACACTTCATTTCACAGGAATAAGGATGTAGACTCCGACAGTGTCTCATAAATAAGTGTTTGCTCACAGCATCCTTCTCTATTGAGTTCTCACTTGGAAACTACGTTTAACACATTTGGCACTGTAAGAATACAGCTAAATTAAAACCATACAGATGGGACAAACAAGCGTGTGGGATAGGGTAGTGCGCGCCAAGTGGAAGGTGTCTGGAAAGCCTGCTGGGCGGTCCCCCAGAGAAGGGGTCCCCACCTTTCCTATGAGCCTATTTCTCCAAAGTGACTGAACACTGCAATCCAAGGCTGGAGGATTCTGCATTCTCTGAGCCCATAATTCCCAGCTGGCCCTGGGCTGTTAATATGATCTGCACTACTCCGTTTCTGCTGAGCCTGCTTTTTTGTCTGCTTTGTCATAATTTTGAAATACAGAGTTCTTGGAAGCCAAGTCCTCCTCCAATCATGACAGCACAGGACATAATTTTCCATGATCTGCTATCTTTCTGAGCCTTGAGAACACCCTTGAAATGTGTTTTGTCCCTTCTTAAATACATACAGTAACTCATCTAGAAAACACCTTCACAAATCTAACCCGAGGTGGTCAACACCGGAGGCTCCATTTTCTAGCTCCACTCAAGCACTCAAAGGAAATGGTTAACTGGTAGGATCTGTGATTCACTCATCACTGCTTCTCCCAGGCACAGTCACCCTGTTCTCCATCCCTCACGGCACTCTGTTCTGATCTCGGCTAATACGCTAATCATGTTATGTTTTAATTACATGTTTATGGGTCTTTTACCTTACTTAAGACAGGGTCTCATGGTGTTCAGGCTGACCTCCAACTCGATATGCAGCTGAGGATGAACTTGAACTTCTAATCCTCCTACTTTAGACTCCTGAGTGCTGGGATGACAGGCATGTCTGGTTTGTGCAGTGCTGGTATTGAACCCTTAGCACTCTACCAAATGAAATACATTACCTGTGTGGTGGTTTGAAAGAAAATGGGCCCCCTTCCCCGATAACGAGATTGATGACTACCTTATATGCCATCCTAGAGCCTTCATCCAGTAGCTGATGGAAGCAGAGGCAGACACCCACAGGTATACACTGAACTAAACTGGAACCCAGTCTCAGAGAGGGAGGAGTGATAAGCAAAGGGGTCAGGACCAGGCTGGAGAAACCCACAGAAACAGCTGACCTAAACAAGGGGGAGCTCATGGACCCCAGACTGATGGCATGGGACTGACCCAGACCCCCTGAACGTGGGTATCAGTAAGAAGGCCTCAGTAATCTATGGGAACTCTGGTAGATCAGTATTTATCCCTGGTGTATGAATGGACTTTGGGAGCCCACTCCACGTGGAGGGATGTTCTCTCAGCCTGGACACACAGGGAGAGGGCCTAGGCCCTGCCCCAGATGATATGACAGACTTTGGGGGTCCCCCATGGAGGGCCTGGGGAGGGGAGGGGGCATGGGGTTGGTAGTGGGGAGAAGGGGAGAGAGAGGAAGCTGGGATTGATATGTGAAGCAGGCTTGTTCCTAATTTAAATAAAAATAAATTTTAAGAAATGGGCCCCATAGGCTCAGAGGGAGTGGCACTATTAAGTGTGGCATTGTTGGAGCAGGTGTGGCCTTATAGAAAGTGTGTCACTGGGGTGGGCTTTGAGGCCTCAGAAGCTCAAGCCAGTCCTAGTGGCTCACTGTCACTTCCTGCTGCCTGTGGATCCAGATGTAGAGCTCTCAGCTTCTTCTCCAGAACCATGTCTGCCTGAAGGCTGCCATGACAAAAATGGACTAAACCTCCAAAACTGCAAGCCAGCCCCAATTAAATGTATTCCTTTGTGAAAGTTGTCATGGTCATGTCTCTTCACAGCAATAGAAACCCTAACTATGACACCCAGCCTTTTTTCTTTTGTTTTTGTTTACATGTTTTGAGCTATAGGTCTCAACTGTTCACTTTTAAAGGTATTTTCCTTTCCTTGCATTCCAGTAATAGGCACTGACCAGGGATGAGGGAAGGATGGAGAGCAGATCAGGTCTCCAGGGACTGAAACTGTATTAGGATGGTTCTCAAATGTTTTCAATGACTAAAGCATCCCAGCAAGTTACCACTACCTAAAATGGAAGTTTTACCTGAACAAACAGGATTGTTTTCAGGGTGGATTCATGTGCCATTTCAAGCAAGTGACTATTCCTGCTAGAAAACGAAATGCAGGCACCGGCACATCACTGCATGCCCTCAGCCATGCGTCACTCAGGTGAGAGTCCTGATACTCTCAGTACAAAAACACAGGTTTCTATGTAGTGTGCAGTGAGATTGGTCCTGAGATTTTCCCCCAAAAGGTTACTATTTTCTAAGATTCTCTTCTCCTACCACCTAGAAACAATAATCCTAATCTTTATGATGCAAAGACAAAGGAAAGAGCACAAACTTTCATTGGTGAGTTACACAAGCACCAGGCCAAAGAATCAATAGACAGAGGCTACTCTCTACAACCACACAACTCTGCAGCTGGAGGAGCTACTGGGCTGTTCTGGGCCCCTTTTCTCATACAAAAGGAACAAGGATAAAAGGATATGTGTATGAAAAAAAAATCCATGTACCTATCACAGCTTTAAGACTAACTCAGAGGTGTGAATGAGAATGGCCACAGGCTCGTATGTTTAAACGCTTCCACCAGGAGTTGGAACTGTTTGAGAAGGATCAGGAGGTGTGGCCTTGTTGAAGAAGGTATGTCACTGGGAGTGGCCCTTAAGGTTCAAAAGCCCATACCATTTCCAGTTAGCTCTCTGCTTCATGCTTGTGGCTCAAGATCTAAGTTCTCAGCTTCAGATCCAACACCAAGTCTGCCTCCCTGCTGCCATGATTCCTACCATTACAATCATGGACTCAAACCCTTTGCAAACATGAATATCACTTTCTTCTATAAGTTGCCTTTGTCATGATGTCTTACCACAGCAAGAGGAAAGTAACTAAGACAAGAGGAGAGGGTAAAAGAAGTCATACAACCTATGAAGGGGGTAGGGTGGAGAGGCTTTCAGTTGTATAAAAGGGACCTAGGCCCACTTTTGTTTTTCTATCAGTATTCTGTAACATTTGTTTGAGGGGCGGGAATGGCTTTAGTGCCCAACATGGAATGAAGCAAATAAACCAAATGCTATCAGTCTGTTCCAAATCTCCTCCCATTTGGGATCCATACTAGTTAAGTACCAACTGTCACTTATTCACACTACTCTGATGCCTATCAGGTAACAATGGCCACATTTAACAACAATGGCTATCAAAATTAGAAAAATTTTCAAGAACAAATCTAAAAGAAAAACCTGCAATGTATCATTCTTCAAAAACCTTTGGGTATACACACCTGAAATCCCCGAAGGCAGGAGGCTGAGGCAGGAGGCTTGCAAGCTTGAGACTGGCCTGGGCTACATAGATAAACCCTGCCTAAAACAAGAAAAATAAAGGAAAAGTTTTAAATTTTGAATTAATTTCTTTCATAGTTACTAGTAAAATACATTGTATTAAGTACGTTGTATTCTGTGCCTTAATGATCTGCAGGATACTAAGAATACGACTGTTGAGAACAGCAGGCTGATGGCCATGCTGATAAAACCCACTTTGAACCTCCAGGAAATTCTGCAAACATCTCACAGCACTCTGAGAACTCATCCAACTAGGAGCAGAGCCAACCTCCTCTAATTTCACCTGCTAAAATCAACACAACAGGGCAAGGGCTGTGATCACCACTTACGTTCTGCCAATCTCCAACTCCACAACTAAGGAAATGGGAGCAGTTCAGCCAACGAAGTTCATGACGACAAGGTGCAGGATAGTGCTGGCAAAGAGGAAATCAGCAAAGGCTCGCTCTGGAGAGATGCCTTGGAAATCCGCCTTGTTCTGGGGGTTGATCTGTATTCTCAAGCAAACTGGGTAAGAAACAAAACACAAAAATCACTATTCTAGAAGTATAAAACAAGTGATTTCTAATCAGTATACAAATACATCCCATGAAGAAAATTCCCCCCTAACAAAACGAATGTACCTATACACCCAAAAGGCATACACAGGAATGACTCCTCCAGTGTGCGCCAAGCTAAAAACATTTAATGTCTATTCACAGTACAGAGGGGAGACCATAGTGCATGTAAACAGAGAAATACTACATAGCAATGAAAAGGAACTCCTGATAGATACAAGCTGAATAAACTGCATGACATGTTAGGCACCATAATCCAGACATAGAGAGTACATGCTACGTGATTTCATACATACAGAACCTTAAAACTAGACAAAACTGGTGGCACACACCTGCAGTCCCAGAACTCGGTGGGGGAGAGGGAAAGTGAGAACTCCCACAAGTTTGACACCAGTCTGGGCTACAGAGTTAATTAAGATCCTGTCTCAAAAAAAGCAAAATAACAACAAATAAACTAGGCAAAATAAGTCAGGACAGTGGTTCTCATCTTTCATGGACAGAGAGGAACCCTACATGGTATGACAGTGTTCTCTGCCTTGATCTGGGGCGTAGTTAAATCAGAGAATTTAAAAACTCGTCCCAAGCTAGACAACAGTGCAGCACACCCGTAACCCCAGCACTTCCCAGGCAGATGGAGGAGGGGAACCACTCAGTGTCACCCTCCACTCCACAGCAAGCTCAAGGTAAACTGTCTCAAGAAACAAACTAAAAATAGGGCTGTGAGATAGCTTACTGGTAAAAAGCACTTACCAACAACTCTGATGGCAAGCATACACACATATAATAAATAAAAACTGCAAAAACTAAACGAAAAATGTATCAAATTATATACTTTTGCAATGTTTTTGTTTGGTTGGTTTTGGTTTTTTGAGACAGGGTTTTTTTGTTTGTTTGTTTTTGTTTTTGTTTTTGTTTTTGTTTTTTGTGTCTGTGTGTGTAGCTTTAGCTACTGTAGACCAGGCTGGCCTCGAACTCACTGAGCTCCGTCTGCTTTTGCCTCCCAAGTGCTGGGATTAAAAGCATGTGCCACTACCGCCTGGCTCTCTTTTACAATCTTAACTATTATTTATTAAAGGAAAAATAAAGGAGAAAAATGATACCCCAGAGTTATGCTAAAACCCTAAAAGCTCTTTTAATCTAGTTGACTTCAAGGTGTCTAATTACACCTACATGGGGCAATAGATACAGTAGTAACAAAAGTTGGGCTGAATGACAGCCCTATGAAATACTAAACATTTCTACAAGAGGCATGCATAATAAATGGAAGAGATTATGAATACAGCTGCTCTCCCTTGCAGACCTCATACTGTAAATAACTACCTTTGATAAAGTTCTAGTAGCTGCTTATCCATCTCAAAAGACTGTGGAAGACCCACACAAGACTCCTGACAGTGATCTCTCCCGCCACATTTCTGTATCCCTCAAGTCTCTTAACAAGGCAGCAGCCAGTCACCCAGACATGAAAAGCAGCTCCAGGGGTATTCTCTGATCAAATACCTTTATGGCTGTGATAAATAATCACACCTGCTTCAGGCTAGCACCCACTCCAGCATTAACAAAGCAGCAGCCACTCAAAGGAGAGATATATCAGACTAGTGCTCCAGAGTTCATCACCATAGCAACAGTTTTCATCACCCTAAGCACAGAAACACCACGAAAGTGCAATGATCTTAATGAAGGACACTGACTGAAGTAAGGGATCCACTTAAAATCTTGCCATGAAAGGTTGGGCTAGACCATCTTTTGGGGAAAGCAACTGGCAATCCTACTTAACACTTAAAATGTTTTTATCTTTTAACTAATGAATGTGTCTTACAAAACATAGTATGTTTGTAAATTTGAAAGAAAAAAGAAAAAAAGGAAATGTTCCAAATGTCATCAAAGGGAATAATTATACTTCAGACCTGCAATGAAATCCTATGCAATTATTCAGAATCAGGTAAATGACTTTTACTGAGTAAAAAGAAGCCAAAAGCACTGACTCATTCCAGGTCTCTTTTTGTTATGTGTCTATATATGGTATATATATATGTTGTATATATGGTATGTATATGTTCATGTGTGCATGTGCATAAGGGTAGGTGCACACACACACACACACACACACACACACACACACACACAC